ACATCGGCTCCAACACCTCCCAGAACAACTTCTTCCCATGCCTGACAGCTCTTCGAGGGACCACCACACGAGCATCCCTAGGGAGATCAATGAAGGTAGCCTTTTAAATAGTAGTAAGAATTAAAAAACCCCAAAAAGCAAACAAAAAAACCCAAAAAAGAAAAATCCACAAAAAACCTCACAAAACGCCCAAAAAGAAACACAAAAAAGAAATAGAATAGGGATAGGAATAATTAGAAAAATAAGAAGAAGGAACATTAGCAGTAGATAGGGACAGGAATTAAGAATAGGAAAACACAGAAATAGAAATAGAAGAAGAAGTAGAAATAGAAGAAGATGAAGAAGGAGAATTAGAAGAAGTAAATTAAGTAGTAGTAGTAGAAGTAAAGAATTATAATAAAAAATAAAGCTCGGATGATAATAATATTCTGATTCATGATTAACTTCAAGTTGAAATACACATCTTTTTGAGTCGTAGTATACTTTGGGTTGGGATCAAAAATCATCTAGTTTCATCTGTTTATCCTACTCCCTCTTTCTCTCTCTCTGAGTCCTCTGAATTCATTCTTGCAGGTCCACGTCCTCCTTATGCTGGGCTCCCCACACACGCATGTCGTGCTCCATGCAGGAGCCTCTCTTTATCTCAAGACAGGGAATGGGAAAGGAGGAGAGGAAGCCTTCTGTGTCAGGGCTTGAGGCCCTGATGCTGGGCTTTGTGGAACATCTAACTCAGAGATTTCTAGAACCTTGTACCAGCAAACAGGCTGTAGTTAAGGACAGTATCCCCACTAAGAAAGTTACACGTTAACATGGAATTCAAAATAAAATATTTGTCCGAAAAGGCACAGACAAAACATAAAAACCAGCTTATATGAAGACTCAAGAGATGCAGTGCAACAAATAAATACATTTATTCTTACGTTTTTCCATTTTTTTTTAGCAACAGTCGCAGAATAATTGCAAATAGGGGTTTTTGCCAAGTATGTACTTTGCTTATTGATTTTTGCATCCAGGGTGATCTACAGCTACAGGCTTGGTTTTGTATTTTTTTTCAATCGGGTTCCTCCTAGACAGATAGAGTGACTAGGTATTCAGAGCTACTAAAAACTTATTAGGTGTGTAACACAGTGAACTACTTCACAGTCATAAGCATAATCCCTAAAGCAAACACACAGGAAGACTGTTTTGTTCATAGCTGGAACTGAGAAGAAGTCTCTTTTTTTTTCCTTTTGGCATCTTGCTATTTCAGTCAAAATGGATTGTGTTCACCACTATTACCCTTTCAAAAAAAAAAAGGCAGTTATAAAAATTACTTAATAAAAACATACCCTCATATATTTTTATGCCAGTTTCTCCAAGACTATTCTAGAAAAGTCAGCTTGTTCAACCTCATATAAGAAGAAGGTCAAGTATGGAAAATCAAGAGTAAAAAAACCTCACAGTAAAAATAAGAATGTCTGTAGCACGTAGTGGTTAGTTATAAAGAACTGAACAAAAGAAAAAGCCTCACTAGAAGTCATAGAGCTACATAGTTACTATCTTTTTACAGCAGGTATATTTTCTACCACAGCCTTGATTTTTATTACTTCATATTTTTTAATAACTTAAAATAATGAGTTTGCCTGCCAGCAGCCAACTCAAAAACACATTGGAAAAAGAAAAACAAACAAACAACCAGCCACCATTACAGTGGTAGGGAGAAATTCTCCTCAGCAGCCAATCTTTGTGTCCATCCTTTCCCTTCTTAGCAATCCCAATCTTCTGGGATATATTCAGCTTATTAGGAATGAGAGCTCTTCAATGCAGACCGAAAGGAATGGTGAACATTTCCCCTCTGTAACCTCCTGTGAGTCCTTGTGGCAGCTCTGCAGAGTCCTTGTAGCAGCAAGCTGCAGCAAAAGTGAAGGAAAGAATATTCCATCCAGGTGTGAAATGATTCATAGGCAACATCTGAGATCTTCAAAGGAGTCTCAATCAATACTTCAGCCTAAATCCCAGCTGAGTGAGCTGTGATTTTATCTCATCTGTCAGATGGGAGAAGCTGCCTGTTTGTTCTTGAATTAACTTCTTTCATCTTTGCTCCACGATATCGCAACTGACTGCACATCTTTCATCATTCTGAGTGCCACTCAGTGCACAGAAAAATAAACCAAGCCATGCCCCTTGGCAATCCACGTTAACACAGCAACAGCAGACACGGTGTGCTCTAGACTCTGCCCAGAAGCGCTGACCTGAAAGGCAAAGGGAAATGTAAATTGGTGAAGACAATCCTTGGAATGATGTAAATCTTCTCAGACACAGTGACTTCGATAAGGAGGCTGTGAAACCGAGATTCGAGATTCGTGTTACTACAGATTTTCATCTTGTCACCCTGTGTCATGTGGAATGTCTGTGCTCTGATGTAACTCCCTGTCTTCTCAAAATGACTGGAATCAATCAGATGGAATTGTTACATCTCCCTATGTTAATGGTTCACGTATCCTTCCACAATTAGTAAACTCAAAGAGCTGATGAGGCTGCATTCAAATAGCAGTAGAAGAAAAGCCAGAAATAGGATTTTGCTGAATATTCCTCCCCAGCCTGAACTCTAAATTGTTAACTGGTTTCCTTAATGCATTTGCCCCAGAGCAACCTTTATGCAAACCTCAGCCGTGTCTGAAAGGCTGGTGCAGAAAGGGATAGGATGCAGTAGCTGTGAAAACACCTGTGAGGAATCCAGAGTGCTCTGTATAGCACTTGTGAGGAACTGGGGATTTCTTGGAGTTTAGCAAGTACTTCCCCCTCCTTCACTGAGTAACACAAGAAATTAAAATACAAAATTACTTATTCTAATTCCCATTTCCTAGGGGAAAGAAGGACTGAGATGGTTTAAGATAAAGACTGATTGTTCTATTTTTTCCAAGGGTCCCAGATTGGGGGGGGGTGGGGTGGGGTTTACAACCTCGCTGTGCCCCATCTGTTGAAACATGTAACATGCCATTTGGTTTTAACTGCTTGACGCTTGCTCTGTATCCCATTCTATTTATTTATTGATCTGGGTAACCTCTGACACAAACCTTAGTGTCTTCCATCTGTCCTTTTCAATGTGGTTCTCAGGACCCTCACTTTCATAGGAAGCCAAGTAAAGTGCTGCAATCAGAAGAAAATACATTATGTTAGGCCTACTGGCATTTTAAAATTTGCTCTCCCTGCAAAGCAGACTGAGTTAAATGAAGCAGGCATGTATTATCCATCCCTCAGTTTAGGGCTTCAGAATCCCATTAGAAGTATAGCATTGCTTATAATTGCACCCAGACAATGCTAACAAACTGTGCATGAGAACAAAGGCTACCCTCAGGGGGGGAAAACCAACCAGTGGAAACTCAAAAGCACAGGGAGAAGAAAGCACTCAAGAGAAAATAAAATGAGCCCAGGGACATGGTGCTTTGTAAATAGCCAGTGAAGTCCCTGTTTTCTTCCTTAAGCAGCAACCTTTAGTGCAAAGTATCCTGAAAGTCCACATAAATATATTTCATGTGACATTTGGAGGGACCACATCAATTTAGTTTGTTCTATTTCAGAACCAATGTTGATTCTCACAGACTATATGCACATAAAAGAAAAATCTTATCTTCTCTGTCGTTTGTAAGGGAGGAGCATTTTTCACTTGCCAGACAGAGATGTCTCAGGACACTTTCCTTACTGTGAGGAAGCCACAAATTAACACAGAAAGAGATTAAGCAGTAACCAGTGACACCATCCCTACAGAAGTCCAGAGCTCCTTACCATCATCACTGAAGACTGGGACAGAGAGCAAGTACTGCAGGATCTTCCAATCCCTTTCAAAAGGACACTCCACTTGCTTCCATGTCATAAATTCACTGACTTGTTTTGCCAATTCCCAAAATTTCTGTCAGAATACAAAGCAGAAGAGGTGCTATATATTGAATAGCATTGCTAACCCTGAACACTTTTTTAAAAAGAGGGAGAGATCTTGGTTTGGAGACCAAGGCTTAGATTGTCATTGGCTTCTAAGATAGAATTGAACATGATTTGACTCAACAACTCAGCTTCTAACTTCTGTGTTCCTGTTTCAAGCTATGGTAACTTCCCACTCCTTCACCTTGTTAAAACTGCTGTTGTGAATACAAATACAGTAGATCATGAAGTGCACTTATTTTTTTTTCAAGGAGCTGGTAACACTCCTTATGCTCAAATTTTAACTTTGATGATGCTCACGCTTTTTGCTTTGCAATTAAATACACAGTGATTTTCACATCAGATGCTTAATACTGACATTTCAAAATCCAGATGTTTCCTGTCAGTTAGCAAATACCAAATGCTCTATTTTCTTGCTGGAAATTTATGCTGAAAATAAACCCTCCCCATGTAGTGTGCTGATGCCATTAATTGATAAACTCTTTCAATTAAAGTTTAACATGCCTCAAGTACACATGGATTCCTTGAGCAAAAGGACATTCCAGATGATTGCACAGCCTAGTTTTAGAACCTTTAGGCTAATTCAGCTAATACAACTGAAATGTACTGCACTTTTGTGTGAATGACCCAGGCTTCTTGAAAGCTGCAAGTACCAGGAAACAAATCATTGGGTAACTCACCCTGTGTCACATAACAAGCATAAAATCAGAGGCAGAAGAACTACTGGACGACAAGAGAGTCACAACTCCCTCACTGCTGCTCTATCACATATTTCTTCAGAGACAATCTGGGACTTACTTGCATGAAAATGCTGCCTATATATCTTGATAAAGGAGGACCTTTCTTTTTATGTGAGGAATTAAAAGATAAGCCCTAAAATACTAATTTGTCATTAACTATAAAAAACCTGTGAATTGAAATGTTCAGATGAATTAGAGCACTGGGAAGAAGTTCTGACTTTTTTTCCCCCCTCACTAAAAAAACTGGGAATATTTGAAGTTTCTAAAACCACTCCATCTTTGATAAAACTGCTTTTTCCTGACTACCTCCCAGCTCCCCTGAGAAGTAACAGATAAATTCCAGTCCATGTTTGCTCTCCCAGAGTCCAGTGGAAATTAGACTGTGGTCTGCTTCAGTTTTCTGTTAAAGGGGCTGACCCTGCATTAAAACCCCATATAGCAACTCAGTGCTATACTCACCTCAAAATTGACGTGACCATTTGGAAGGCGATTGGCACAACCCTCATTGAGGAAGTAAATATCTTTGATCAAGAGGCTGAAGAAAGGTATCACGATCTAGGGAGAGAACAGCATTATTATCAATCTGGTCCTGAATCAAGACACAATGGTCTGTAGAGAAAACTGAAAGGAAGTCAGGTGATACAAAGGGTAAGCAAAACACTGAAGGACTAAGGATTCTTCATCTTTACACAAACACTGTGCATTCACTACATTTTAAAATACAAGTCTCTCCACAAAGTCCTCCATTTCTATGTCATGTCCTTGTTTTCATTTTTTCCTTCTTCCCTGCAGATTTCAGAGATAAATGGTCAGAGGCACCTACTTCTTACATGTAATTCCTGCAGGGTATCTTGTAGTGTAGCTTTCCCTCTTGACAGAACTTGCTTGGTAAACGAGAGGAGATGCACATTAAAGCACAGCAGGGAATATTGGGGTAGCAGAACAAATGTTTTATGAGCTACAATTCCCTGAGCTCATGCAGGTCATGGAACCTTGGTACTGACTGGCTTAAAAATAAGCATTTCCTGCCAACTGAACAAAGTATTTTCTTTGGAGAATGCTGGAGTATTTCACTTTCTTAAAATGGTTCTATTTTAATTTTCATCCTATGGAACCTTTCACAGCTACACAACCTTGTTAAAACTGGGGATAAAACAAATACCACTTATTTTTGTGAAACCTACATATTTCAATATCTCTAAGTTCTTTTTCTGAAGTCTTAAAACTGACTTTTCTCTGAAAAGAAGCAAGCCTCTTACATTTAAACTTCTGGTACTTTGAATGATATGTGAACAGACCCTTAGGACTCAGAGAGATATTCCATGCATAACAAGAGTATAGATCAGCAGACTGCACGTGGATTTGCTTCATCTGCCTGATAGTTTATTCCATGAACTCCAAGATCACGTTTATTAAACACAGCATGGAGTCCTAATAGCATAGTGAGTTGATGAGCAACTGCTTCCAAGTGGAGAGCAGCTAGGAAGTTATTTGATTCCTTTCCACAAGAACTACCCCTGAAATTCTGCATCTAAAGACTACACACAGGAAGAGAATGCCATAGCTTTGTCTAGATTTGAGGCTTAGAATACCTTTTATGAGTAAGTTTTGAAATCTTTCCACCTTAAGCCATGACTTACTGAAAGATTAGCACAAGTAGCAGCTCTACGAAAAAAATTACTAGCGACCTCATGTCAGTCCTTAGCCTTTCTATTTGTGGTATGGCTTGTGAGATATAGGTATCTGTAAAACAGAAACAAGCTGAGGCAATCTACTTATTTTACTTAAATAATCAAAGTGATCATTTAATGTTTGGACTTTCAGTCAGCACCAAACTGATCTGGCAGCTTTTTATAACCATGCCAGGGGCAGAGTTGCTGAGAATCAGAATTCCAGGATAAAGGTTTACCATGCAACTTAACAAGCACGTTTCCCTTTTGCCCCCTGCCAAGTCCTTTGCAAACACACCTTCTCTCTGTTGCTGTGAGCTGTCAGGGACCTCTGGGTGGCTCCACGCAGAGCAGTTCGGTAATTATAAAAATTGCTGGAAGGGTCCATCTGATGCTGCAAGGCATGGAAAGATGCAAATAATGAGGTACACACAGTGCTTTTTCAACTGAGTGACTTTTAAATAGGAAAAAGTCTTCTGAACAGCCCCACAAACACAGCATTGTAGAGACTGCAGTATCACTCTGTCTGATAGTTTGATCAGAAGAGAAGCTCATTTTAAAAAATTTCCATTCAGCACAACAAGGGATTCAATACATTCTCTTGGATAAATCACAAACTCATAGTGTGTTGCACCTGCATGATCTTTGACAAAGGTCAGCTGGGCAATATCCATTAAGAGCACAAATATACTAAATTAAATGCCATAATGAAGCCAAACTCATATTTTAGAGCAGATAAAAGTAAAATGGTATTAACAGCCTCCTGTCCAAATATTAGCCAAACTTACCTCAAGAATATCAAATTTGGCTGTCTTCACTTTTGCCCAGGTTTTCTTTAATCGAGACACAGGACTCATATTCATGCCAGCTTTATGTAAGAGAAAGAGATTGTTGGAGTATTTAAAAGAAAGAAATCTTTCAGGTAGCTTGAACTAGTAAGTATTTCTAAAGCAAAGGATCTATTACCAATAACAAGTATTTTCAATGGAATTGCTCAAGAAATCAGAATCATTGTTTTCTTTAAAGCCCAAAACAACCCTGGAAACAAAATCTTCATCTCTTACAGAATGAAAGCTCTAAAAAAATGCTATGACATTATATAATGTGAATTTGATAAAACATGTATATAAAGCAGAAAAGCTCAAATGATCATTGTTCTGAACACAATCTCTTACATAATTCATTGAAAACAACACATATCTATGAAGTTTTCACATTTCAAATGAAAAAAAACTCAGTATTTTCCTACCAGATATAAAGTAGTGCAGAATTTTTAAATCAATAGGATGTGATAGAAAGGATGGAAGACATCAATTCTCCATATTACAGGGAAAGTTACTATGCCAATTTAGCACTGAAGTTGGTTTAAAAAAGTGGAGATTTAGGTCTCTGAAGAGTTGCAATGAAAACTTTGGTTCACACCAACTTTATACTACACACATAGCATTACAACAGTGTTGAGCAACTTCATGCTGCTGACCAAGCTCAGCAGTAGACTTCTGTGTGAAGCACTCTGCTTCCTTTATCCAGATTTAAACAGGGATAAAATAATATCTCAGGACACATACTTACAAATAATAGCCATTAAGGAATTGAAGTTGCCAATGTTAAAACATTCCCGTGCCACATCGATGAAATATTCTATCACTCTCGCTCTGTGCTTCTTCTTCACAGGCTGCAAGAGATGCATTTGTAGGGTTATTCTCAGCAGGAAACAGCACTCAGACACATCCCCAAAGAAATAACACCCCTGCTAAAAGTCTTTTCCATATGTACCACAGCTTTACACTATCCTTTACATGTAGAGGAAGCCACACTATTGTATTCAAAAGCATTCAGGACAGCAAAGACAAACCTGATCCCAGGCAGGCAGAGAGCAAGGACAGCAGGCAAAAAGGCTCTGCCAAGAAGAAGGATATGAAGAACAGCAGAGCAGGGTAGAGGGTCAGCCAGAGGAGAGAATGTGCCTCAATTCACAAGGGGCTTTCAGAGAAGAGAACAGCAGGCCAGACATGCTCACATACCAAGAAGGGCTAACCCAGAATAAATCATCACTGTCACATAAACAAGGCTGAGGCACCAGTATAATGCTGAGAACACTGAACTTATTTCCTCTTCAGATGTGCTCTGACTGCATCCAAATGTGAACAATTACAGAACCAAGCGAATGAAAAGTCCAAAAGGCACCAAACCTGAAAAAGCTTCACAGTTTTGGATAACTAAACAAAACCTTTCAGCACAAAAAGTCCTTGCTCACCATACAGATTTCTGTTGCAACCAAGTAGCTGAGCCTGTTAAACCACTCCACATAGGCTTCAAGATTCCGAGTCTTCTTTCGATCTCCGTAGCAGCTCTACAGACAGAATTATAATGGCAACTTTTAGCACAATTTTTATCTTTTCCCTGTGAGATCTTTTGGCTTTCTGCCTCGCCATTCTCAAACATTTTCAAGCAACCAGGAATGACTCAAATTACCCAAAATGACAAAAAGCTTGGAGGGAAAGCAGTAGTGGTTGTATTCAAGCATGTGTAACTTCCTTCTCAGCTGCTGGCCCAGTAAGGCACTCCAGCAGCCATGTGAAATCCACCCTGTGCTTTAATGCTTTAAGGACCTCAGACAGACTTATGCAAACAATCAGGGCTAAATATCTGCATAAAGCTCCCTTGGATATGCACATTATTTCAGTCCTTACTCCTGTAAGCCCTCTGCAAGTGCAGCAGGAAAACAGAGGTCAGGCACATTATGTTTGGCTGTTGATGACAAATGGACATACTGCATCCTAACTTTGGGAGATCAGCTCTGCCATTTCAATGGGATTATCTCTTTCCTGAGCAGTGCTAGGCTGTATCACCTTGGAATCATTCCCACACCACATCTCAGGGTTGCCTAAAAATGAGTAGACAGCAGTTTCAGTGATCTATATCTGGAAAAACAATTTCAGAGACCATCTGACTGAATATCAAACTGTAAACTTGCATAATTCTATTCTGTTTGTCAGTTTTAAGTTAATTCAAGTTTTAATGGACCGACTTTGTCACAGTTTATTTACAGAGGTTAAGTCATCTTGAAAAACATAAAAAATTAGGTCATTTTGAAAACAGCACTCAAAGAGATGACAACTCCATCATGGCTGGTTAAAAACACTGCATATTTGCCCTCCATCTCACATAGATCTAGAGCCCTCTGTGCTCTTTTTTGTTATGTCTGCTCTACCTGCAAATTCCCCCATGTGCCACTTGGCTGCAAAGAATTCAGTTTACTAAAAAGGAAGAACAGATGTCGAAAATAAATAATGCAGAAGGCAAAGTTAAACTCAGACTCTTCCAGCTGTAGGCATAGATGGCCTGGGGAAAACATTCACACGATTAAGTTCTCCTTTAGTTTAAGTCAGAAAACCCAGGAAATGTGTTCATTTAAGTCACTTTGTTGGCTGAGTTCTGGAGCTTCAGGAGTTATACTCCAGAAAGAAAAAAAAACATTAACAAAATGTTTCATGGAAGTAATAAAGCTTATTTTCTACTGGTCCTCGTTTATTGCTGGACCTCACTTCCAGCTCACAGTGCACCTGATGGTAAGTGATGCATTTCAGAGCTGCTCCAGATCTGCTCCCATTACCTTGTCATTATTCAAAGGATCCTTTTGCACAAACGCCTGGATAAACTCTTCTGGTCCAATATAATTGAGTCTCTCCTAAATAAAGCACAGAAGCAGCCAGGTCATATCCCCTGTTAACCTGCACTTCAAAAAGAGGGGAAGGATGAAGTCATCCCTGGGAGGGTAACAACTCACAAGCTCTATGTGCGTCAGCTGCTGAGCTAACACATAGGGATCATTGCAGACTGTGATGATGTCCCTCTGGATGGACTGGGGCTTGGTCTTTAGGAGTGTGAGGCGATCTGTGGATGTGGTGGCATCAATTTTTGCAAGCACCTCCTCGTACTGGGTAACCGCGGCCAGCTTCCGAATCAGGTTCTGGAGGAGCTGCTGCACGTTCTTCCGGTACACCTGGCGTAACACCAAACCATCAGAAACTACTTCCAAACTGGGAGAAGACAACATTAAAGGCTGCATGGCACCACAACACATGGATTCTGATACCTGTATTTGTTGCCAACTTAAGCTAAGCTCTATTATGTGAATTTGTAATATTAGCATTTCACCAGACCAAAAGGAATCCAGCTGAGGGTTTAAGCAGTGATTGTCTCACAGCTTCAGTATTGACCCAGCTAGCTCAAAGAAGTGTTCAATCTACTTCCTGAAAAGTACCAAATACCACTGGAGGAAATACCAGAAATGAAAATATTCCATCTTCTCCTGCTTAAGATCACAGAAAAAAACAAGTATGTGACCATTAAGTGATAAACAAAAGGCCTGCTTCTCTCTGCAGCAAATCAAGACCAGTTTCACCAAAGTCAGAGCTCAAACTTGCAGTGAATCTGAGGAAAAGGAGACGATAACAAAACCATCTCTCTCTTCTTTTGCCTTTGCAGGCCTTTCCATATAGTGATTTAAGTTACCAGGAGTGACAATTTTAACTAAGAGCAGAACTCAACTCTTGAGTAGAGAGATCTGTGTTACCAGTGTGGTTACTCTTCCAGATTCCACATATCCTAAAGCCATTAAAGCAAAACCTAAGAATCAAAAAGGATCATCCAAGGCAGCAATATTTCCTTTATTCTGATGAATTTGTCCTTTTCTCCAAAGCCTTTTCCAAATTTGTTTTGAATGAGTGATATCTTAGTGTGGTGAGAGGTTTTAGTTGTACTCTGACTGACAGCTCTTAAAAAAACTGGAGTACAATAAAACTCAGGAAGTGGAATAAGAAGCTATAAGTAGAACTGAAGTGAGTGGGAGTAGGAAACTGCTTCTTTTGTATCCTTTAAGGTAATGACTCACAAAAATCCAAGTGATCTGTAGAAAAGCAAGGTCAAGGAAGTTGCCATTTACTGTTCCAAGCAGTTCACAATAAAACAAGTCAATTTACTGCAGTGCTTGCTTTCACTTTGTCTTTCTAAAGGAAATATCAGTCAAGAAAACCTCAAAGCTACAGCTAGAAAGGAGTTATAGTTCTCTGCAGAGTAAGATTGCTCCCTTCGCACATTTTCTAGCAGCTTTGTACATCTGCCTTTCCCTTCAACAGACAATTTCACTGTTTAAACTGTCTGTAGTTCCAGAAACTTCGTTGCAGACAACCCTTCCCTCTTTTCATTTCATTCTTCCATCCAGCAACTCAACTTCCTTCAGGCTAAGCAGTTCTTTTTTTGTGTGCCAGTGAGTATTTTTCAAGTGGGTGTGAGCCCTAAATCATAACTACTTTGCCTGGAACTAGACTTCAGATTGCTACCTTGCTCTGAAGAGTATCTAGAAACAAAGTAACCTGACACTCCTGGAGGGAGGGCACACCTCTTGCCTCTTCCCAGTCCAAAGTTCCCTGGAGCTTTCTTGCAACCTTCAGCTTGCACACCAAATTTGGTCTCTTTTTCCTTTTTATTTCATACCACATCTCACTCTCTTGTCCCATCTTCTTTCATCCCTCCCCACGTTGACAACATCAAAATATATTTCAGCTTCCAAGTTCAGTTTAGGTTTGTTCTTTTCCATGCTTGTGTACAGCCTTTGGTAGCACTCTTAGCTCCACTCAGTCCAGTTTACCTCCACGCCTGTTAATGTGCTGTTGGCTGTCTCATCCATATCATTACTTAGAAGCTTATATAAGGAACACTGGTCCCTGAGGAACACTGGAAACACAATGCCATTTAGCAATTGCTATTTGTGTTTATAGTTCTTCCAAATGACACTCCAGTGTGCCTTTTGCAATCACAGTATTATGCCAGCTACACAGGATTTGCTTACTGAAACCTTGTTAATTCCCTTCCACTAAGTAAATATAACCCTTGGCTTTTGGCTGAGTCTATTTCAGTACTTAAAAGACAAGCACCAAATATTTCATAACCATGTGGAACTTTACTTCCATCTTAAAAAGTGGGATTTAGAAAAAGGTCAGGTGATTTCCTTGTGTGCTCCATCCACAGGAAGGAATATGACAGACTTCCTCTGAGTTGATACTTTAAGCTCAAGACAATTCTTCCTGGTCCAGTCCTCTTTTGGAAATTTCTCCCCAGCCCTGCTATAACTTTTCCATTGACCTACAGGTCAAAGGCCCAATTCCAATACACCTTACTCAAGAAATGATCAACACTGATAGGGATTTCTCAGCTATTGTCCTAGCTAGCTTCCTCCAAGAAGAATCATTAAAATGATAAATACTAACATGAACCAAATTGTGCCTGTCTGCACAAAATGGGATTATGTTATGGTCTTAGAGGTGGAGAAAACTTTACCCATGCTTTGGAGAAGATCTGCTTATGCCGTGTGGTTTTATCCTAGGCTTAGGTACCAAATAGAACATTTTGCCTACCAGCACCTTCATAACAAGTTTTATTAAGCACCTAGAGCCACACCATATTATTAACAGCAATATAAGCAGTAATAGGAATGCCTTTTTATCCAATAACTTTGTGTGCAGACAGCTTACCTCATCCCCACTGGCTATTCTTTGGGCCAACTCCTTTAAGTTCCTCATCATTCTTTCATCTCGGAAATCATAAGGAAAAGTCTCTGTCCACTCAGTCAACAACTGTAGGATTTTGGGTGAAATTTTCTGGGTCCAGTTCTATTTGGAAACAGTAGTGAGGAATGTTACATGCAACAGCAATACAGGAAATATCTATCTCAAAGGAAGTAGAATTCTGTTCGGTAGAATAGTGTAGAGCATAAGGGTAGGAATGTCAAGTAAATTTTAATCTTAATTTCATTCAGCATTGGATTACAGGTCAGAGCCAAAGGTCATGGAAGCCAGTGAAGAGACTCTCATTGACTTTGACCTGGAAATTAGGCCTCAGGTGGGTAGAAATTACTCCCCTCATTACCAGGAGTGTCTCAGTGCAAGGCATTGATTAGTGTTTCCATAACTTATGACTAACCCTCAACAAAGAAAGTGGAAAATTTCAGTTGTGCCAAGACCTATGTGTGCACTACACCTGATGAGAGAAACCTGTGTACAGACAGAGAGAGGCTGGGGAGGAGATGTGGTGGTCAGAGGCTGCCCTGGGAATAGTGACCACAAAATGATTTTTCATTCTTGGTGAAGTAAGGAGGGGGGTCAACAAAACCTCTGCCTTGGACTTTCAGAGGGCAGATTTTAGCCTGTTCAGGACCCTGGTTCAGAGATTGTCTTGGTAAAACAAACAATGCAGCAGAAGCAGCAGCCCTCATGGAGAAGTGTGGATATTCCACATGAATCCCATTGAACAAAGGGTCAGATTCTAATTGTTTGTGTCAGGTTTTCAATCTGTTCAATCCCACCGAGGACTCTCTTGAATAGGAGCATTTTGGTTTGGGCAGGGAGCTGGGAAGTCCCTGAGAGTGGGGGGGGTCTCACCTTGTCCAGGGCAGGCTCACTGAGTCTCTGCTGCTCAATGCACAGGTGGCAGACTTTGGCCATGAGCTCGTAGGGGTGCATGAAGAGGCGAGAGCTGAGCAGGAAAGTGAAGATGTACGTCCTCTGTCAACAACAGGAAGGCAGAGAAAGGCATAAATTACCAGCATTTTTTATATTTTCTTGAAATGCCTTTCTGAAAAATCTGCTCCTCATACCTTACTATCTGCAGAAGAAAACTCTACGTGTGGCTGTTGCCAAACATTGCCAAAAGCAATTACTACAGAGGTAAGCATTTAATTTGACACTTATCATTGCTCCAGAACCAGTATTATAAATTTGTGCTCGAGCCAAGTTATGCAAGATTAAACCAAAACAAGGCAGGGCAAAGGTGGTTTAGCTCTCCTGCTGCACACAGCCTTATTGCAAGCTCATTACCTGAAATTACTAAGAATAAAATTTTCTTGCTGTATGTAAACCTTTGTCTCCTGGGTGAAAGTGGAAGGAACTACATAGCTTAATTTTACAGAATAAAAATCAGTAACTGATTCTGAGGCTGCAAGAAAAGGCTCCTTATTTTGCTTTGATTTTCCATATATCACGATTTGAACTCATTGTGAGATGGATATTTAGAATATCCATTCCACTTTCCACTTTGCCAGTTGTTAAGTATCTCTGGCACCCACTCTACAAAGACTCTAAAATGTTCTGGCTCTAGAAACTTGGAATAAATCATGATGTTTGACCAACCAGTGTCCAAATTGCTACATATTTGAAGTATACACTAAGCATTAATAGATAAGCACTAGCTTAAGTAGAGTCCTGTGCTGCTCTTAATTCTGACCCAAGTTAAAAAAGTCTTGTCTTGGAAACGTGAACAGATCTATGACAATAACAGAAGCTGAACATAAGCAGAGTTATGTCTTCAGCAGGAGCATGCCAACAAGTAGAGCTGCAGTTTCATCATCCACCAGTTATCCCCAACTGCCCTTTCCTGCCACCTTTTGATACCATTCTTTCTTATCTTCTTTTCTAAGAATTATAGAAAATGTCTCATTGCATGGATGTGCCAAAAATTCTCAGATGACAAACCTCCTGTTGTCACATCCAGCCTCTGCTGATCCTAAACAGTGTGATAGTAGTTCAACATTTTGGTTGCTTATTGCAAGATACACGTGGACCTCAGATGAGTAATGGGAAATATGCGTTAAAAACCGCTTGGTTTTGCAATAAATACTTTCATTCTGTCACAACTGTGGCCATGCCTGTCTCTCAGCTTGCCTGGCAGCTTTTTGAGGGTCAATGGTACACACAGTCCATCAAGCAATAAGCCAGTCTAGGTGTGTGCTTTATAAATGAGTCACCAGGATTGCTCACCTTACAGCAGGAGTAATAAAGCATTAGATTTCCTAGGCTAGGTGAGTTATTGCATGCTGCACTCAGGTGAAGCACATGTTATCACTGCTGGTCAGCCACTTGAACCCCTTTCTTAGCCATGGATGTGACACACTCTGCTCTTGCTGTGCATGTTCCCCTTTAGGAGACTCACCAGGCCTGGCCATACAGTTAGCTGGGTGTGTAACTTACATCTGGATAGTAATCCACATTGGGTACTAAGTGCTGGATCAGAGCTTCCAGAGATCCTGACAGAAGATTGTTGTCCTGGTAATAGAGCCCTCCACAGTTGTCTTCTTTTGTCTGATATAGGTTCCTGTTGTAGCTGCTGCTGTCAAACATTGCTGCAAAGGGAGGTGTCTGTGGCATCTTTCCCTGTGGAGACACACAAAAGAGATAAGGGATAATTAAGAGAAGGTACAATGTAAGGGGATTTCTATCTTCCAGAGATAATACTGCACTAGAAAGACAACTCAGTGTCACACCATGGGTTACTTGCACACAATAAAGACTGTACTGTTTTCAAGCCTGTGCAGACCTCTCAGGAAAGGGCCAACACTGGCTTTCACCACTGCCTGTCACAATCACCATGTGCTCCTTTTATATCTTGCTGTTTCTTTATTAAATGACAGATAACATGTCCAGGCTAGGAGTTAGGAGGTGGTACAAAAATCCTGACAGGCTTTGGGAACTCAGACTTTCTATAAAGCTTTTGGAGGAATGTTGCACAATGTTCACTTTGGTCAAATCCTGAAAGTAGCTCCCTAAGAGCAGCACTCTCATGGGGAAGCGTGTTCAGGCTGTCCCAGGCTGACACATCCCCAGCCAGAGCAGAAGAAGAGAGACTGAAGTGAAGCCCTGGAAAGGCTTTGTGAAAGGACAATCTCCTTTGTGCAACACAATCCCAAACCTCCCATTTCCTAACTCCACCCTGGTAAATTGGTGCTTGGTTTTCCCAACAACACTGTAACAGGCGTGACCCAGGCTAAAGCCTGATGCTTCAGTGCATCTGCCTCCACCTACTCTCTGAGTGGCTCTACAGAAATTTGGAAAAGCTTGCCTGGGCATAGTTGCTTACCACTGCTGTCCAAGCTCACCAGTGATATAGAAGATGAGACCAGATTCCGAGTTTTGGTAAACCTTCTCCCCAAATTTTGTGAAATTCTGTGAATCCTGTAATTTCCAGCTTTAGGAGAAAGAAAGCAATTACTCATCAGTCTGAATCTTAGTGCCTGTGGAATCACAATGTCTTTCCAAGGAAAAGATCAGTCAGTGCTGCAGGCCGTTCAGTCACTCAGAGCAGTGGGTGGGCAGCAAGGGGGCCATGACCACCCAAGAGCTCTTTTGGTAATGCAGTACGTGAAAAGGCCAAAAGATAAAATCTCTCTGATTGCTTGAGTGTTGAGTGAAAAACTCCTTCCTCCTCCCTCCTTCCCTGCTTTCTGGGAGTAGCAGTTCTTGTCAGTTTAAGGAACTTAGGTTTTATAGGCCTTAATGGGAAGCTATACGTTTGTGTCCAGTTTTAACCACAAACGTGCTGGTTTTAACTCTCCCGCAGCAGTTACTGGGCTGTGGGTGCTGATGGGCATTCAGGGAGAAACAGAAACTGCAAAAGGGGATGGCACTTCGTTTCCAATCCTCCCCAAAACTTCAAGGCAAGGAAGATCAAACTGAGTGGAAAATATCCACAGACTGCTGTGCTCATGTGTCAATCCAGCATGTGTGAGTGCATGAGAAAAGCATTAATGCCTCTGAGCCATCATTGTAAGTGCAGATGCTGTTTCTTTTCTCTCCATTGTATCAAATCCTATTCGGGAAAAGGCTCTTTTAAAGCCACAGACCTCAGCAAACACCGCCTGTGAAGGCACCCCGTTTTGAGAACAACTAGTGATGTGACAGCCTGGAGATAAATAGAGTGCTGCCATCTGTGTGCTCCCCCAACACCCACAATAAAGCACTTTTCAGAGTGAGCCTGGTGGAGATGAGAAGCTATTAAGTTATTAGCCAGATTCTTTAGCTTGGACCTGAAGCGCTACACAGACTTGCTGCTGCTGCTGCTGGCAGTGTGTCCAGACAATGGAGACATTCAAACCAGCATAAGCCTGAGTGGTTCAGGAAATAAACAGTAAGAGAAAGCCAAAAACAAAGGCAGACAAGGACAGTGGAGAGAGCCTCCTGGCCTGCATGACCTGTGCTAATTCCACCTTGAGAGGTGCCAAAAGATATCTGCATCAAAATGGGAAAGACTGTCTGAAAAGTGACATCAGACACTCTGTGCAGCTGTTCAACCAGCGATTCAATTCCACTCAGCCCGAAGAACTGGGAGAAGAATGAAGTAAGTACACATGCCACAGCACAAGAGGGTGAAGTGCAGCACTGAACTTGGCGGGGTTCCTGTGCAAGGGAGCTCAAATTACTGGGTAGGTGAGGTGCAACCCTACCATGGCCATGCTGTGCACCAGTAAAGCATCCTGATGCATAAAGACTCCTGGTCTTTCAGGTTCTTTGCAAGGCTAACCCAGTTTAAGGAACAAAGCTTTACTGAGGAGACAGGAACTTTCTGCAGCATTTCCTAGGTTTTCATACTGTGCAGACTTTACTGTCTCTAAAGCCACAGACTTGAATCAACTCCAAAATATTTGTCAGCCCACTGGTGCTGAAAGATGTCCTGTTTGCACCAAAACTCAGAATTTTTTCAGCTACTGAAGCACAGTTTATTCAGTCAAAATGCAAGTGGTAGTGAACAGTGTGTAAACACTGCAACCCACCAAACATTTGTAGCACTGTGGCTCCAAGGTAATACTCCAGTGGGAAGTGAGAAAGGCTAGTCTGCACCTGCAAAACAACCTGACATCAATATTAGCACTTCTAAAAAACCAAGCTGTTTCAACCCAGATCTCAACCAAAACAGCCTAATTCAGGGTGAGACTGGAATCTGCAGGGGATTTAGCTAGCAATTAGTTTTGATTTAATGCAATCCTCACAACATAAATCAGACAGGTTGGAGACACAGTCTCCTAGAGCCTCATCAACAGGAAAGAAAAAAACCATCAGGCCATTAACAGATGTACAGATTTGTAACCATAAAATAAAATTATCAGAAATCTGTCCCAAAGGGTATATATTGTGTCATTTGTTTGCTATCTGTTTCTGGAAGCTGCTTGACAGAGAGGGCTCAGTCCTGCTTCAGTGAGACACCCAGTCGTGGTGATGCTCTTTATGGCCAGAACTGGGTTTCACTTAGAAGTGAACAGGACATGTTCTCCATGTGATGAAAAGGGATGATACCAAAGTGTGACAGAGATAAATATAGCATAGCCAATGGGATGATTCATACAACACATGTGCTTTTCCAGCATGACTCCTTCATTATCTTGACCTTGACTCCTCTGCTGTGTTTTATTTGGAGGTAGAGACACAAAGCAGCATTCTTAATTCTAAAAGCTTCTTTAGCTAAAGCTTCAGCCAAACCTTGCCCGCAGAATAACTTGAGTGGAACTAAAATTTGGTTCCAGAGCAGATAATGGTCCACAAATCCGTGGCATATAGAGCAGAAGTATCTTGGGACCTAAAAATATTGTTGACAAAGCACAGCAGGGCAAGATCTGACGAGCAGGAATTGAGAAAAAGACAAGAAATATTATTCCAGTGAAAAATGTCCTGGGAGTTAAAAACTGGAACTTTTAAACTGGGCTTTGGAAACATTTGGCTAGCAATCACATGGAAACCCATTTATCCCTTCTCTCTTTATTTTTTCTTTTTCTCCAAGAATGAAAAGACTGGTGTGGGTTTTTTTTCTTTGTTTATTTTTTAGTAAAGATCCGACTTGAAGGAAAGAGCAATGAAATAATTTCCTGGCTTTACCAGTGATGCTCTCCCGTGACAGAGAGAAGTCGAAAACTCTGCACTGTGGAAAGAAGATTACAACATTTTTTTCTGCATTTAGTATCATTATGGAGAACATGAGACATTGGGCATTGATGTCCATATTCTGGCTGGGAGTAGCCTCTGACAAGAAAGAAGCCTCAACCTTCCCAGGAACAGCACTGTAAATAGGAAATCAGAGCCAAAGATGATGTGCTCAAACCCCCACCATCTCCTGCAGGAGCCAAGTTTCAGTTTGGCAAAACTAAAGGAATCAGACGTAGCTTCCAAGGCTGCCAAGTGCTTTTGCAAATCTTTATGCTAAAAAAAAAATATCTGTTTACTACTACAGACTGTGGAAGGTTGCATCGGTTTGTTTTCATTTATATTAAAGAGCTCAGGCTGCCTATCAGATTCATAAAACAAACCCAACAATATGGATAGCTGGTATCCTTCACAGAAGCATCCACTGAGAAGTTCAGTAGTAGCCATGAAAGGTGCTTTTAAAGCCAGTGCCAAACATTTTCAGCTCCTCTGTTAGGAAGTTTTCTCCCACACTATATCCCTCAGGCAGAGGAATGGTATTAGTCCCAAGGCACACCTCCCTTTAAAAGAGGCAAACTTCAGAAATGCAATTACATCCCCTCAGAGCTGTTCCCTATACAATCAGAAACCCTTAACCACATTTAGCAGGTGATTTCCATCCACCATTGTTATTAAGGATGCCATCATAAAACTGACATATGGCAAAACAAAAGCTTGACTTCCTGCAGGAGCCAAGTTCCAGAGAGGGCTCTCATTATCCCAACTCTTCCTTTTGTTAGGAACACGCCTACAGAAGCCATTCCTGTTGTCTTTGACATCTCTGGCCAGACTCAGTTCTAACTGGCCCTTAGCCTTCCTAACCTCATCCCTAGCTTCCTGTTCAATTTCCTCATATTCCTCCAGACTTACATCCCCTCCTTGTCTCTCTAGCCTGTCTTTTATGAAAAGCCAACAACTTTCCATTCCAATGCTCCAGCCACAGGAGCCACCCCACCACATCTCTGTGATGCCAATGATATCACACCCATGCAGGCATGTGCATGTCTCCAGTTCTTCTTGTTTGTTCCCCATACTGTGTGTGTTTGTGTAGAGGCATCTGAGCCAGGCCCTTTATGATAAAGCTGGAGCAGCTGGAATCCCTCTGCAGTGCATCCACACCCAGGCTGCCCAAAACAAAAAAACAAAAGCATACCAGACACAGCCCATCGCATTCCATACAGCTCTTCAGTGGTGTGTGTGCTTTGCTCACAAAGCTTTTTTTTTTTTTTTTCACTGCAAGGTAAAGGGGAATTTTACAGCTCAAGTGACAGAAAAGATAAGAAACCTGAAAAACTCCCAGATGGGTGTTTCTTGTGTCTTACTTGCAGAAATTAAGATCACAGAACTATCCCGGTTCAAGCCTTCTTGCTTCCACTCTTTGTGGTCAATTTGCCATACAATTCTCAGACCGTGATTTCAGCACCAACTCTGAGTTGTAGTTCTTTCCCAGAATTACTTATTAAGTGTATCTTTTAAGAGGCAGAGCACAGAATATTTTTTATAGTCACATAGGAGATGAAATGGGGAGTGATATTGGCTTTTTCCAGGATGAAATCAAGAGGAAGATTAAGAACCTCTCATAAGGAATCCACCCCAGAGGAAGAGGACCAAAACTATCCATGCTGGACAGTGTCATAGCAGTAGAAAACACATCTTGCACAGCTGCTGATGGGGCAAGGAAAGACCTGAGGTAGACGTAAGAAACCCGACTGAGCCTTAAAGTACTTTTTGGTTTTCGCTAAAACAGCAGAGGATGAACAATTTTGTAGTTTTCCAAAAATCACCCAGGCAACAGTAAGCTGCAAAGCAAAATGAAAAACTCGAGTAAGCAAAGAATAAAACAGGAACTGAATTCAACTAGGGGCATTTTCCTCCTGAATGTGCATTTTTCTTGGGTCTATAAATAGATTCAGCTGATGATTTGGGAAGGTCAGATGCAGCAATGCTGCCTGATCACTCAGGTATGAGAACTTTGGCACAGTAATTAAGTGAATCCTGAAATTGAAGTCCTTGGATACTGAACAGCAAAGGTGTGATGGGTATGAATACATTTTTGTGTTTACTTGGGAGCATTAGGAACATTGTAGGGCGTTTAAGAATGCCTTGGATTTCCCCAAATCTGCAAGTGTAGAAAAAGGGAAGGAAACAAACAAGTTCCTCTTTGTTGCTGATATGCTGTAAATCCATGTCCCTGCTCAAGCCCCACAAGTCAGCTCC